AAAATGGCCAAAGTCAGTGTTTGCAAGTGTTGTACTTGTCTGGAAGTGTTGAAAATGCATTGTGAGCACGTTTCAGGCCATTTCCTGTCATTTGAGGGCGACTTTGCAAAAAGGGGTGTCATACCGCTTTTGACCAGAGGTGGTGCTGCTGCACATGTCCGACGGTTAGGGTTAGGGTGAGACTTTGGGCAAGGGGTTAGGGTTAGGGCTGGAGCTATGGTTAGGGTTAGTTGTGGAGCTAGGGTTAGGGTTAGGGTTGGAGCTAGGGTTAGGGTTAGGGTTGGAGCTAGGGTTAGGGTTAGGGTTAGGGTTAGGGTTAGGGTTAGGGTTAGGGTTAGGGTTAGGGGTTAGGGTTAGGGTTAGGGTTAGGGTTAGGGTTAGGGGTTAGGGTTAGGGTTAGGGTTAGGGTTAGGGTTAGGGTTAGGGGGTTAGGGTTAGGGTTAGGGTTAGGGGTTAGGGTTAGGGTTAGGGTTAGGGTTAGGGTTAGGGTTAGGGGTTAGGGTTAGGGGTTAGGGTTAGGGTTAGGTGAGGGGACTCTATCCCGTCTCCCATAAGGAGCGGGGAATGCACGGGCCTTCCCCCATCCGTACCCGTCCCTACGGTCCCAGGATTGCTGGCGGAAACGTCGGGCCCTCCGGCCGTATCTGACCTCCGTCCAGTCTGTATTGTAGCCACTCATGTTAGAGTGGCTATGAAAGTGTTTTTATTTATTTAAATAAATATATATTGTTTTGTTTTAAAGAAAGAAAAGACTGATTTTTTCCTATAAAAGAAAACTTATCTGAAAAAACAAAGGAAACTTAGCTTTAAATTTAAACTTTCTGAAATAAAATGCTGATTGTTTTAATAAAAAGTAAAAATAAACTGTTTTTTAATTTTGTTTTTAAATATTTTTAAATGTTTTTAAGGTTTTTATAAAGTTTTTTAGATTTTTTTGTTGTTTTTTAACTTTTTTTTCTTCCAAATAAACTATTTACAATCAAATTTGTGTGCCCACGACAACGTTTCGACCCCCTGTGGGTCTTCCTCAGGTCTCTTGGCACACAACAAACAAAGAAAAGAAAAAAACTGTCTCTGAATAAAGAAAACAAAGGATGCTGGCTGGTAAGAGTGAATGATGTTCTCTCCTCAAGCTTCAAAATGGAAATGATTAAGCCCAACCCACTTCTCCCTTTTATAGTCTCTGGCGAGTAAATACAATGAATTTTGTTATTTTATTATCATGTGCCCTTTTAAATTCTAAATTTTAAGCCCTTAACTATGAATTACTTTTAACCCTTTACTATATAATAATGATCTATATCCCCTGTATTTATTAAAATGTATTTATTTATTTATGTGTTATTTATTTATTTATGTGTTATTTATTTAAAATTAATATATTTAATTTTTAACTGTCCTAGGGTTAGGGTTAGGGTTAGGGTTAGGGTTAGGGCTAGGGTTAGGGTTAGGGTTAGGGTTAGGGCCAGGACTAGGGTTAGGGTTAGGGTTAGGGTTAGGGTTAGGGTTAGGGTTAGGGTTAGGGTTAGGGTTAGGGATAGGGTTAGGGTTAGGGTTAGGGTTAGGGTTAGGGTTAGGGTTAGGGTTAGGGTTAGGGTTAGGGTTAGGGTTAGGGTTAGGGTTAGGGTTAGGGTTAGGGTTAGGGTTAGGGGTTAGGGTTAGGGTTAGGGTTAGGGTTAGGGTTAGGGGTTAGGGTTAGGGTTAGGGTTAGGGTTAGGGTTAGGGTTAGGATATAGGGATATGTGCCACTTTTGACATGCCGGTTCATTGCCTTTCCCATCGATGAACCGGGCTGAGATTTGGTCTACCCCCCCATTTTCGGGTATGCTGAATCTAGAAATAGTAATGAACCAGCGATCGGACATTCCTATCAAAAGTTATGGTGAAGTGAAAATTTCCCATTGAAAATGAATGGGAGCGGAAAAATGGCCAAAGTCAGTGTTTGCAAGTGTTGTACTTGTCTGGAAGTGTTGAAAATGCATTGTGAGCACGTTTCAGGCCATTTCCTGTCATTTGAGGGCGACTTTGCAAAAAGGGGTGTCATACCGCTTTTGACCAGAGGTGGTGCTGCTGCACATGTCCGACGGTTAGGGTTAGGGTGAGACTTTGGGCAAGGGGTTAGGGTTAGGGCTGGAGCTATGGTTAGGGTTAGTTGTGGAGCTAGGGTTAGGGTTAGGGTTGGAGCTAGGGTTAGGGTTAGGGTTGGAGCTAGGGTTAGGGTTAGGGTTAGGAAAATGTGAAGATTTTCCCAAAATCTGAAGATTTTCCTAAGTGCGGACCCAATTTTTCACCTTCCAGAATTGTGTTAGGAGCACGTTTCAGGCCACGGGGAGTCCATAGAACCTGATTGTGGGTGAAGTTTTCGGGGGTTGGAGCTTTGGGGCAGGATATAGGGATATGTGCCACTTTTGACATGCCGGTTCATTGCCTTTCCCATCGATGAACCGGGCTGAGATTTGGTCTACCCCCCATTTTCGGGTATGCTGAATCTAGAAATAGTAATGAACCAGCGATCGGACATTCCTATCAAAAGTTATGGCGAAGTGAAAATTTCCCATTGAAAATGAATGGGAGCGGAAAAATGGCCAAAGTCAGTGTTTGCAAGTGTTGTACTTGTCTGGAAGTGTTGAAAATGCATTGTGAGCACGTTTCAGGCCATTTCCTGTCATTTGAGGGCGACTTTGCAAAAAGGGGTGTCATACCGCTTTTGACCAGAGGTGGTGCTGCTGCACATGTCCGACGGTTAGGGTTAGGGTGAGACTTTGGGCAAGGGGTTAGGGTTAGGGCTGGAGCTATGGTTAGGGTTAGTTGTGGAGCTAGGGTTAGGGTTAGGGTTGGAGCTAGGGTTAGGGTTAGGGTTGGAGCTAGGGTTAGGGTTAGGGTTAGGAAAATGTGAAGATTTTCCCAAAATCTGAAGATTTTCCTAAGTGCGGACCCAATTTTTCACCTTCCAGAATTGTGTTAGGAGCACGTTTCAGGCCACGGGGAGTCCATAGAACCTGATTGTGGGTGAAGTTTTCGGGGGTTGGAGCTTTGGGGCAGGATATAGGGATATGTGCCACTTTTGACATGCCGGTTCATTGCCTTTCCCATCGATGAACCGGGCTGAGATTTGGTCTACCCCCCATTTTCGGGTATGCTGAATCTAGAAATAGTAATGAACCAGCGATCGGACATTCCTATCAAAAGTTATGGCGAAGTGAAAATTTCCCATTGAAAATGAATGGGAGCGGAAAAATGGCCAAAGTCAGTGTTTGCAAGTGTTGTACTTGTCTGGAAGTGTTGAAAATGCATTGTGAGCACGTTTCAGGCCATTTCCTGTCATTTGAGGGCGACTTTGCAAAAAGGGGTGTCATACCGCTTTTGACCAGAGGTGGTGCTGCTGCACATGTCCGACGGTTAGGGTTAGGGTGAGACTTTGGGCAAGGGGTTAGGGTTAGGGCTGGAGCTATGGTTAGGGTTAGTTGGGAGCTAGGGTTAGGGTTAGGGTTGGAGCTAGGGTTAGGGTTAGGGTTGGAGCTAGGGTTAGGGTTAGGGTTAGGAAAATGTGAAGATTTTCCCAAAATCTGAAGATTTTCCTAAGTGCGGACCCAATTTTTCACCTTCCAGAATTGTGTTAGGAGCACGTTTCAGGCCACGGGGAGTCCATAGAACCTGATTGTGGGTGAAGTTTTCGGGGGTTGGAGCTTTGGGGCAGGATATAGGGATATGTGCCACTTTTGACATGCCGGTTCATTGCCTTTCCCATCGATGAACCGGGCTGAGATTTGGTCTACCCCCCATTTTCGGGTATGCTGAATCTAGAAATAGTAATGAACCAGCGATCGGACATTCCTATCAAAAGTTATGGCGAAGTGAAAATTTCCCATTGAAAATGAATGGGAGCGGAAAAATGGCCAAAGTCAGTGTTTGCAAGTGTTGTACTTGTCTGGAAGTGTTGAAAATGCATTGTGAGCACGTTTCAGGCCATTTCCTGTCATTTGAGGGCGACTTTGCAAAAAGGGGTGTCATACCGCTTTTGACCAGAGGTGGTGCTGCACATGTCCGACGGTTAGGGTTAGGGTGAGACTTTGGGCAAGGGGTTAGGGTTAGGGCTGGAGCTATGGTTAGGGTTAGTTGTGGAGCTAGGGTTAGGGTTAGGGTTGGAGCTAGGGTTAGGGTTAGGGTTGGAGCTAGGGTTAGGGTTAGGGTTAGGAAAATGTGAAGATTTTCCCAAAATCTGAAGATTTTCCTAAGTGCGGACCCAATTTTTCACCTTCCAGAATTGTGTTAGGAGCACGTTTCAGGCCACGGGGAGTCCATAGAACCTGATTGTGGGTGAAGTTTTCGGGGGTTGGAGCTTTGGGGCAGGATATAGGGATATGTGCCACTTTTGACATGCCGGTTCATTGCCTTTCCCATCGATGAACCGGGCTGAGATTTGGTCTACCCCCCCATTTTCGGGTATGCTTGAATCTAGAAATAGTAATGAACCAGCGATCGGACATTCCTATCAAAAGTTATGGCGAAGTGAAAATTTCCCATTGAAAATGAATGGGAGCGGAAAAATGGCCAAAGTCAGTGTTTGCAAGTGTTGTACTTGTCTGGAAGTGTTGAAAATGCATTGTGAGCACGTTTCAGGCCATTTCCTGTCATTTGAGGGCGACTTTGCAAAAAGGGGTGTCATACCGCTTTTGACCAGAGGTGGTGCTGCTGCACATGTCCGACGGTTAGGGTTAGGGTGAGACTTTGGGCAAGGGGTTAGGGTTAGGGCTGGAGCTATGGTTAGGGTTAGTTGTGGAGCTAGGGTTAGGGTTAGGGTTGGAGCTAGGGTTAGGGTTAGGGTTGGAGCTAGGGTTAGGGTTAGGGTTAGGAAAATGTGAAGATTTTCCCAAAATCTGAAGATTTTCCTAAGTGCGGACCCAATTTTTCACCTTCCAGAATTGTGTTAGGAGCACGTTTCAGGCCACGGGGAGTCCATAGAACCTGATTGTGGGTGAAGTTTTCGGGGGTTGGAGCTTTGGGGCAGGATATAGGGATATGTGCCACTTTTGACATGCCGGTTCATTGCCTTTCCCATCGATGAACCGGGCTGAGATTTGGTCTACCCCCCCATTTTCGGGTATGCTGAATCTAGAAATAGTAATGAACCAGCGATCGGACATTCCTATCAAAAGTTATGGCGAAGTGAAAATTTCCCATTGAAAATGAATGGGAGCGGAAAATGGCCAAAGTCAGTGTTTGCAAGTGTTGTACTTGTCTGGAAGTGTTGAAAATGCATTGTGAGCACGTTTCAGGCCATTTCCTGTCATTTGAGGGCGACTTTGCAAAAAGGGGTGTCATACCGCTTTTGACCAGAGGTGGTGCTGCACATGTCCGACGGTTAGGGTTAGGGTGAGACTTTGGGCAAGGGGTTAGGGTTAGGGCTGGAGCTATGGTTAGGGTTAGTTGTGGAGCTAGGGTTAGGGTTAGGGTTGGAGCTAGGGTTAGGGTTAGGGTTGGAGCTAGGGTTAGGGTTAGGGTTAGGAAAATGTGAAGATTTTCCCAAAATCTGAAGATTTTCCTAAGTGCGGACCCAATTTTTCACCTTCCAGAATTGTGTTAGGAGCACGTTTCAGGCCACGGGGAGTCCATAGAACCTGATTGTGGGTGAAGTTTTCGGGGGTTGGAGCTTTGGGGCAGGATATAGGGATATGTGCCACTTTTGACATGCCGGTTCATTGCCTTTCCCATCGATGAACCGGGCTGAGATTTGGTCTACCCCCCATTTTCGGGTATGCTGAATCTAGAAATAGTAATGAACCAGCGATCGGACATTCCTATCAAAAGTTATGGCGAAGTGAAAATTTCCCATTGAAAATGAATGGGAGCGGAAAATGGCCAAAGTCAGTGTTTGCAAGTGTTGTACTTGTCTGGAAGTGTTGAAAATGCATTGTGAGCACGTTTCAGGCCATTTCCTGTCATTTGAGGGCGACTTTGCAAAAAGGGGTGTCATACCGCTTTTGACCAGAGGTGGTGCTGCACATGTCCGACGGTTAGGGTTAGGGTGAGACTTTGGGCAAGGGGTTAGGGTTAGGGCTGGAGCTATGGTTAGGGTTAGTTGTGGAGCTAGGGTTAGGGTTAGGGTTGGAGCTAGGGTTAGGGTTAGGGTTGGAGCTAGGGTTAGGGTTAGGGTTAGGAAAATGTGAAGATTTTCCCAAAATCTGAAGATTTTCCTAAGTGCGGACCCAATTTTTCACCTTCCAGAATTGTGTTAGGAGCACGTTTCAGGCCACGGGGAGTCCATAGAACCTGATTGTGGGTGAAGTTTTCGGGGGTTGGAGCTTTGGGGCAGGATATAGGGATATGTGCCACTTTTGACATGCCGGTTCATTGCCTTTCCCATCGATGAACCGGGCTGAGATTTGGTCTACCCCCCATTTTCGGGTATGCTGAATCTAGAAATAGTAATGAACCAGCGATCGGACATTCCTATCAAAAGTTATGGCGAAGTGAAAATTTCCCATTGAAAATGAATGGGAGCGGAAAAATGGCCAAAGTCAGTGTTTGCAAGTGTTGTACTTGTCTGGAAGTGTTGAAAATGCATTGTGAGCACGTTTCAGGCCATTTCCTGTCATTTGAGGGCGACTTTGCAAAAAGGGGTGTCATACCGCTTTTGACCAGAGGTGGTGCTGCTGCACATGTCCGACGGTTAGGGTTAGGGTGAGACTTTGGGCAAGGGGTTAGGGTTAGGGCTGGAGCTATGGTTAGGGTTAGTTGTGGAGCTAGGGTTAGGGTTAGGGTTGGAGCTAGGGTTAGGGTTAGGGTTGGAGCTAGGGTTAGGGTTAGGGTTAGGAAAATGTGAAGATTTTCCCAAAATCTGAAGATTTTCCTAAGTGCGGACCCAATTTTTCACCTTCCAGAATTGTGTTAGGAGCACGTTTCAGGCCACGGGGAGTCCATAGAACCTGATTGTGGGTGAAGTTTTCGGGGGTTGGAGCTTTGGGGCAGGATATAGGGATATGTGCCACTTTTGACATGCCGGTTCATTGCCTTTCCCATCGATGAACCGGGCTGAGATTTGGTCTACCCCCCCATTTTCGGGTATGCTGAATCTAGAAATAGTAATGAACCAGCGATCGGACATTCCTATCAAAAGTTATGGCGAAGTGAAAATTTCCCATTGAAAATGAATGGGAGCGGAAAATGGCCAAAGTCAGTGTTTGCAAGTGTTGTACTTGTCTGGAAGTGTTGAAAATGCATTGTGAGCACGTTTCAGGCCATTTCCTGTCATTTGAGGGCGACTTTGCAAAAAGGGGTGTCATACCGCTTTTGACCAGAGGTGGTGCTGCACATGTCCGACGGTTAGGGTTAGGGTGAGACTTTGGGCAAGGGGTTAGGGTTAGGGCTGGAGCTATGGTTAGGGTTAGTTGTGGAGCTAGGGTTAGGGTTAGGGTTGGAGCTAGGGTTAGGGTTAGGGTTGGAGCTAGGGTTAGGGTTAGGGTTAGGAAAATGTGAAGATTTTCCCAAAATCTGAAGATTTTCCTAAGTGCGGACCCAATTTTTCACCTTCCAGAATTGTGTTAGGAGCACGTTTCAGGCCACGGGGAGTCCATAGAACCTGATTGTGGGTGAAGTTTTCGGGGGTTGGAGCTTTGGGGCAGGATATAGGGATATGTGCCACTTTTGACATGCCGGTTCATTGCCTTTCCCATCGATGAACCGGGCTGAGATTTGGTCTACCCCCCATTTTCGGGTATGCTGAATCTAGAAATAGTAATGAACCAGCGATCGGACATTCCTATCAAAAGTTATGGCGAAGTGAAAATTTCCCATTGAAAATGAATGGGAGCGGAAAATGGCCAAAGTCAGTGTTTGCAAGTGTTGTACTTGTCTGGAAGTGTTGAAAATGCATTGTGAGCACGTTTCAGGCCATTTCCTGTCATTTGAGGGCGACTTTGCAAAAAGGGGTGTCATACCGCTTTTGACCAGAGGTGTGCTGCTGCACATGTCCGACGGTTAGGGTTAGGGTGAGACTTTGGGCAAGGGGTTAGGGTTAGGGCTGGAGCTATGGTTAGGGTTAGTTGTGGAGCTAGGGTTAGGGTTAGGGTTGGAGCTAGGGTTAGGGTTAGGGTTGGAGCTAGGGTTAGGGTTAGGGTTAGGAAAATGTGAAGATTTTCCCAAAATCTGAAGATTTTCCTAAGTGCGGACCCAATTTTTCACCTTCCAGAATTGTGTTAGGAGCACGTTTCAGGCCACGGGGAGTCCATAGAACCTGATTGTGGGTGAAGTTTTCGGGGGTTGGAGCTTTGGGGCAGGATATAGGGATATGTGCCACTTTTGACATGCCGGTTCATTGCCTTTCCCATCGATGAACCGGGCTGAGATTTGGTCTACCCCCCATTTTCGGGTATGCTGAATCTAGAAATAGTAATGAACCAGCGATCGGACATTCCTATCAAAAGTTATGGCGAAGTGAAAATTTCCCATTGAAAATGAATGGGAGCGGAAAAATGGCCAAAGTCAGTGTTTGCAAGTGTTGTACTTGTCTGGAAGTGTTGAAAATGCATTGTGAGCACGTTTCAGGCCATTTCCTGTCATTTGAGGGCGACTTTGCAAAAAGGGGTGTCATACCGCTTTTGACCAGAGGTGGTGCTGCTGCACATGTCCGACGGTTAGGGTTAGGGTGAGACTTTGGGCAAGGGGTTAGGGTTAGGGCTGGAGCTATGGTTAGGGTTAGTTGTGGAGCTAGGGTTAGGGTTAGGGTTGGAGCTAGGGTTAGGGTTAGGGTTGGAGCTAGGGTTAGGGTTAGGGTTAGGAAAATGTGAAGATTTTCCCAAAATGTGAAGATTTTCCTAAGTGCGGACCCAATTTTTCACCTTCCAGAATTGTGTTAGGAGCACGTTTCAGGCCACGGGGAGTCCATAGAACCTGATTGTGGGTGAAGTTTTCGGGGGTTGGAGCTTTGGGGCAGGATATAGGGATATGTGCCACTTTTGACATGCCGGTTCATTGCCTTTCCCATCGATGAACCGGGCTGAGATTTGGTCTACCCCCCATTTTCGGGTATGCTGAATCTAGAAATAGTAATGAACCAGCGATCGGACATTCCTATCAAAAGTTATGGTGAAGTGAAAATTTCCCATTGAAAATGAATGGGAGCGGAAAATGGCCAAAGTCAGTGTTTGCAAGTGTTGTACTTGTCTGGAAGTGTTGAAAATGCATTGTGA